GCAACATCTTTTTGTTTGTGTCATTTGGTGCATTTTAGGAGTTTCAATAGATTCAGAAGATTCAGTTATATGCAGCGCCGGGAATCACTGTAAAAATAAAACCCTGCCACAGTGACCATCTTTGTTTGGTCTAATATACAACACAGGGGGCATGTTAACCTTGATATGATACATGACGGCCTAGATCAATAAATTGAAAGCTTTTTGCAACGTGAGAATAAAGCAACAGCTGTATGACAGAGGATAGTCGTATATCCAAGGAACAACTGCACACAGGGGGATATGGCTGAAGTTTAAAGACTGATTGTTTTTTGCTCCTGAGTGCAGGTTGTGGTTTTTAACTCTTCTCTATGAGCAGTTATGAGTCTTTCCTCTTCAGTGTTTTGTTTGCACAGTGCATAAGTAATATATATCGACGTATAATGAACCTCTGTTATATTGCTATTGATGAAAATTATGTTGTTTTAATCATTGATTTTTTTTTATTGCTAAATATGAAATATTGCAATGTCTTCCAGTGCTTCAAAAGAGGGATGAAGGCAACTGTAGAATTTCTTCAGATTTTATTTCCATGTCTCATGTAAGTCTACATCACGTCAGACAGTCGTAGTCATACACTTTACACGAGTAAGGCATCACAGTGTTGAGTTTCAGTGGTAGCAGTTCTTTAAATGTAAAGGTGCATAGATAATGTAAAAAGGAGGAACCAGAAATCACATGGATGAATTGTGCACATGTGTGAAGTAACCACTGCACTGTACTATCCAGCTGCACAGCTCCAGCACACATGTTGCTGTGGAAAATATATCCACTGTGTAAACAAATGCTGATCATGAGGAGATGAGGAGATGGAACTGATAACTGTATAACACTGGAGTTCTTTGCCACAGCACACTGAGAAATATGCTTGTGTTTATGCTGCCTCTGGCTGCCTACACCCCCGGGACACTAAATATCTTATCCTGAGCCCCCTCTTAACATATAGTAATGAGATGCTCCCGTCTCTGAGCAGACTGAGACGTATTTCTTTATTTGCTCGTCTGCTGCACACCTAATGTGTGATTGACTTCTGGCAACCTGTGCACCGTGCACTGCAGTAAGTTACATTAATCATTCTTTATGCATGTGCACGACATGTCACGTGATCCACGATCAGTGGGCAGGGGGAAACCCCACTGATGGAGGGAAAGCACTGCAGTATTCAGGAGAAATGACATGCGTTTCCCAATTCTCCACAATCTGTGGAACATTTGTTTTTATTGCTGCTCAACTGCCTCATTCCATGATAATACTCTCCGTGGTATTAGTTCATTAACCATATTTTACAAAATGTGTGTTGTAAATCTTAGTTTCTATTGTTTCATTATGAACAACGAGACAACAGAAAAATATTTACTACAACCGAGAGGATAGAGGATACTAAAAATCCTCCATCTTGGTGTAATGCCATTACTGCTGAGAATCAATGGACTGCATTTCCTTAAGTACTGGCTGCCTCCATGTAATATTGTAACTCAGGGATTCTGTACCATCAAGCCACAGCAGCAGTGGCCATTCACATCTGCAGGGTGCTTCACACAGATGTTGTTTCAGTGGTTCTTTAACCCTTACCTAACCATTACATTCAAAGGAATTGTGAAGAGCAAAGCAGCATCGGCATGGATGGAGCAAACAAACAACACATAGCAAATGAATGATTCATACATGACTATGCAGAACAGAATCTTTTCTTACCACTCCTGCTGTGGTTCATCGATGACCAGGAGGATCTTAAACTTCTTGGGTGTCGTGACTTGAGTCTGCTCCACTAGCCCTGCTGAGGCTGCTGTCTGCTTTACAACGTTGGTGATGGAACTAAAGAAGCCCGCGCCGGTGGACTGAGCTGGCTGTGGTTTCCTCTCCGGAGCAGGGGAAGTGGCTGGAGGTGTGGGCCCAGCTGTGGGAGACTTGGCAGGGGTGCTGGAAGCAGGTGGAGGAGGCTGAGCAGGGTCAGGCCTCTGGAGATCTGTCATGTAGCCATTGGGCAGGTTGGAGATGAACGTGCTGTCTGAGAGACGACGACGCAGATAATTCATGGCTGCAGCTGAAAGAGGAGAAGAGCAAAGGAGCACTGGGTGTGGAGAATGATTCTGCTGCAGAGTCCCTTTCCTTACAGCTGATAACGGCTGAGCTCTCAAGGCAAACTCCCAGCGAATGTATTCCCTCCCAGTTCAGTGGAGCATCCTCAGAGCTCCCTCTCACGGGCAGTGACGCTACACTGCAACTCAGCCAATCACCTTACACTGTGCTCTCCTCACCCATTGCAAAGGATGCTCTTGCTGCGCCTCTCCTTCCTCCTCTCCTCCTCTCCCCTCTCCACTCTCTCTCACTAGCATGCCTGCCTGCCTTACCCCTCCCCCATTTTCTGCTGCCTCACAGGCGTCATGCTTTTTTGATCCGCCGCATGGAAAATAGAGGAGTTTCCAGTGTAAGTGCAAGAGGGAACACTGAATAGTATGTTATAATTGTCTTAGTCCTGCCCCATCTGTCCCTCTTGTTTCCTCTGCCTTGTGTCCGTGCACAACATTTCTGTGTGTGTAACATGTAGCCATGAAATCTAAAATGGCTGTTAAGACTAGCGGGCAATGTTGAATGAGGGGGACAACGTCAGAAGCTTTCCCTGGAGACACAAATTCATGAGTAAACTATCAGTCTTAATTGATTCATCAGTCTTATATAGCCTCTGTGTTAGTGCATTAAAATTCCATACATGACACTTTACCTGAATATTTTATTAGACTTTATAGGATTATTATAAGAAACACCATTTTCATATACACATTAACTTCTGCACAGATAAATCTAAATACCACAGAAATTCCTAACAATATTTTTTATTTTCTGGATTAGAAATCTGTTAATTGCATAAATTATGATTAAAAGCATTTTAGGTTTTAAAAGAACCTACTAGTAACTTCATATATTTATATGAAAAACTTCTATTCCCCCTTAAAAAATAAAAGAATTAGCTGCTCTAACATGTTTTAATTAGTTAAATACAAGGAATACAGAGAAGCTATGTGATGAAAACATCAGACCACCATGTCAACCCACAGAGGCAACACATTTTGAAAAGGACCCGGAAACACATCAATAAATCAATAACTTGCAATGTTCAGAGGTCACAACAAATGGCCACGTCTTGAATCTGATACTCACAAATATGCGACCTAAAGAAACATAGTTTAAAGATTTATATAAAACATTATTTATTTGCCTGCAATAATATTTTTCTTCCATACAACTATAAAACAACAACAAGAGGATTTCAAGATCCCTTATTTTATACTCAAAGTTTTGATCTTCATAAGAAGATGGATTTGTGGTTTTATACTGAGAAACAATCTTAGTAAAGTTTTACAATCACAGCTAATGGATTGTCACCTATACTGTAGTTTGGTAAAACTCACCAGAAAATGCAAGCAGTGGTCAGTCAGTGGTGAAATGAGCCAACCAGACAGTCAAAGTCAGACTAAAATACTCTTTATGGATTTCCTGTGCACTCTGGTACGATCCCAGGATCATCTAACAGCATCAGGGTGCCTGTGTGCACCAAGGCCTTTCACTGGGGCTTGCATACAGAATCATGGGGGAAATCAGTGAGATGGTATTTCCACAGTATTCATACAGAACGAGGACCTGCTTTATAATCAAATGAGGCATGCTAATGTCATTTTCTACAATGAGGGACCTTTAGGCTGCAGTGAAAAGCAAAGAAAGGCCACAACACATATAAAGCGGTGGCTGTGGCTCAGGAGACAGAGCGGGTCATCCTCTGACCAGAAGGTTGGAGTTTGATCTCAGTGGGTAACCTGTAAAAATGTGCACAATATTTTTTAGAAAAAGTATGTAGTATGAACGAGTAAATACTTTAAGCCTGAATAGTTTTGGTCCTTAATTATATGTAGTTAGATTTTTATTTATAAATGTTTTTTTTTAATCCTGTTCAGTTTGGAGCAACTAAGGAAAAGTAATGCTCAAATTTACTTTCCAACATTCTAATACTATTATTTCGAAACCTTAGGCTGCACAAATAGTTTTCAGATTGTCTTTGAGTAGCATTAACATTTTGGAATCTCCTAAAATGCACCATTTGGAGAACAGCAGATAAAATAACATGTGTCATAGCAGAACTTCGTGTAGAGTCTTTCTGAGTCAATGGCAGTGACAACTCCAGCTCTAATTATAGCTTGTCTGTTTGCACAATATCTTTATATTGTCAATCTGTTTTCCCATATTATAATTTTACTGTCACCGTTGTTTGTCTTTTTATAACTATTGATTGTTCCCCTGTTAAAAAGCTTTTACTTGATACAATTGTGGATCTAATGTCAGAGGATGTCAACTGTACAGTATCAAGAAAATGTGTAATGTTATGTTTTAATTGTCTTGATAGAAGTTGTAGCATGTGCTGAATCTAACCACCTTAACAATATATAGCTGAAGTCTCTGCAGATTATTGCATGTCCAGATAATGGAGAAGGAGGAGGTTATGTTTTCATCTGCGTTTGTTTGCATGTCCGCTAGTAGGATTACACAAAACAGTACTGGACGATATAAACATTGTATTTAAAAAAACAAAGCCAGTGTGTTGAAGAAATACAATGAAACGTGTTAATGAAGCTTTTGTTCTGTTTATTGAAATATTTAGGTATTCAGTCGGAATCCAAACAGTCAAACACAAGATCAAGTCAAGTCAAGTCAACTTTATTATCAATAATGCCATATGTGCAGGACATACAGAGAATTGAAATTGCGTAAAAGATATAAAATAAATATAAATAAATATATATACAAGCTAAAAGATATCTAAGAAAAAGACAGTGGCAAATCTAGAAAAAATAAAAAGTATAAATATGGCAAATATGGCGGTATGATCTTAAGATCTTAAGACTAATAGAAGGTGAAAATGAGTCAAGATGATGAGGATGATAATAATGATCATGTGTTTTCTATCTGTCTGGAGGAGAACATGGTCGATGTTTACCACCCTGGGACCTGGCTGCTGTTCCTCTGGCCTCCACCAGGGCCGCTCCGCACTCTTTTGTTTGCGCTGGAGCAGTGCAGCGGTCGGACGGGGCTCTGCTGTTGTTGTGGACCGAAGCTAACTTTCTTCGACCGAGTGAGTAACGTTGACTTTAACGTGGCGCTGCCGTGAGAGCTTTGTTGTCCGACTCACCGTCACCGAACGTAACCGCAAGTGGTCGCGAAGTTGTCGACCAGTTGCGTGTTTGTTTGACTTTTCCCGTTCAACCCGAACCTGTGAGCTAGCGTTAAGTTTCCACCAAAAGTTTGTGACAAGCTGCTAAAGGCTAACGCTAGCTTGCGCCACAGACAAAGTAGCCTAGCTAGCTAGCGTCCTAGCGCCTGTACATAACTAATAAGCATTTAACTGTGTATTATGGGTTGAATTGTGTGGAACGTTAACAGACTTATCTGGATCGTTTGGCAGTAAAATCGAGCTGGTTAAAGTTAGCCTAGCGGTTAGCTGAGCGTGTTATGCTAGTGTAACTGCTAGCCTTTCAAGCGTTAGCCTCGGGCACCGCCAGCTAATCGTTCGACTCGAGAAAAGGACATTTTTCTTTTGAACTGATTTCAAAGTATTGTCGACATTTGACAATTGTGTCTTTCCCACAGGATATAAACCCGTTTGTTCTCTTCGCTGGCACGTCCTGCTAACATCCATGTTAGCAGCTAGCCTGTTCGTGTAAATGCTTTTCACTAGAATGGACCTGCTGAACTCTCAGTTCCTGGACAAGATGAACAATAACATCGGGAGACTGCACTACGACGGTTCGTGTGTTCTCTTGTTAAAACGTGTCTCAACATCACATATTTAACTTGTGTGTGGGAACAACATTTTGTGGTTTCCCCAGTTGCCCTCAAACCGAATTCAACAAGTGTCCTGATGTGCGACGTGCACTTATCCTCATTACAGCTGCTCTACAACGAGAGCCCAACACACTGCTGTTCACACACTTTGGTGCAGGATTGTTGAACTGAGCCCTGTTGTGTATATTTGCACTTTTATGGTTGACTGGGTGAAGACATTTCCACTTTCTGACACACCTCTAAAGAGCTGGTTTAGAGTCGGTTGTAGGGTTCAGGCTAGTTTCGACTCAGGTTAGGGTTAGGCACATAGTTGAGATGATTAAGGTTAGGCCAAGAGGCAAGGGACTGCATTAAGTCAACAAGTGTCCTCTCAAAGACTACACAAATACTTTTGAAGTAACTGGGCGACCAATTCTTCAAACGTAAAAAAAAAAACTATAAATGCCTCCATACTGCTTCTTTGGTGTGATCCAAGTGTCCGTAAGCCCCAACATTCCAATTTGATTTCGAAGTGTGAGTTACACGATGTTTTAATACTAAATGTTAGCTACAAGAACTAGTGATGCAACCAGGCACCCTTGGACGAGAACCTGTGTGCGTGCGAACGTGAACGCGACTCCAGAGGAGGATGTCCGAGGACGTTTAGGCTAAAAGCATGGAGTAAATGAAGCCATTTCAAGTCGAATTTGAATGTCGGGGCTTATGGACACGTGGATGACACCACATTGTTTTATTATTTACTGAATTTCCCAAAAGTTGGCACATAATTCCCCACAAGCTATAGATTTACAGATTCCAGATAATTGTCTTCCCAAAATAAATGGCCACCAGCTACAGTCTGCTAGCCTTTAAATTGTAAGGCAACATAATTATAATGTTACTGTTTTCAAGTTATGATTTTGTTCACGTGGCTGTGTATGTGAATCAGCTGTTACGTGTTTTATTATTAGATTATTATTACTGACATAATGTAAAAGCAGAATGTTACAGTTTTAGTTGGTTGAGGTGGATCATTCTGCTAATTCTTTTCTACACAAATTCATTGTTTGGTTTGTAGAAAATTTGTAGATTAGATTATTTACACTCCTGATTCTTCTCCCACAGATGAGTCCAGGACACCCCCCATGCCCACTGCCATGTCCAACATAACTGGGCCCCCTCCTCACTGTCCAAGCAAACGGAAGTATGGAGAAGAACAAATGGACGACCGAATAAACTGTGACGAAGACCACGTGATCAAAATGAGTAGATTGTTTGCCACTCAGCTGTAAGTGTCTTAATGAAATGTATTTGTTTATTTTGTGCCAGCCTATTTTACAAATATTCAAGTATGTGATTTTTTATTGCAGATAACAACTATGTGAGCATGTTTTGTCAAACTGAAAAATTTTCAGCGACACCTTTTGTGTTTTTTTTGCTCATAAATACGTTTTTATTACACATGGCAGTTTTTTTAAATTATCACGTAAATGTAATATAATTACTCTTCCTGAATGGAGTTTATCTGAATGTGGTTGTTATTTGCCTGATCTGATAAACAAGGCAGTGGGTTAACAATCTTTCAGTGTTAATTAGCTACAGTTCATAAAGGTAAACAGCATTAGAACCACATTGATATATTGATATACTTGTGTGTAAAAATAGTAAAATCCTCAATTTCAATTCATCCAAGAACAACCAAACCATTCAGCCTGAAAACCCCAGTTAGAGATTAGGAAGTGAACATGTCTGAACAGGACATTACAGCTCACAGGACGCCACCTCCTGGCTGTAAAGTGTTGTGAGCACAAATATGACAAGACTTGGGATTTCTTTATATATGACCTGTCACATTTACATTGTGTCATGAAAAGTCAAAGCTGTTGTTAATTTATGCTTAATTTGTACTTTCTTTATTAAGGGCCCGTCCTTCTGCTGGAGACAACCGCAATGAGCACTGGAGTCACAGTCCTGTGGAGCATGTTACATCCTCTTCTAATGGTCTCCATGGGACCCACTTGTATGCTTCCATTTCTGGCTATGCTGTAGACCAGCCTCTGCCTCTGACCAAAAGCAGCCATGACATTGGAGTTGTGGGCAGAGAGAGATCTGTCATCGGTGGGACTGTAGAGCGGCAGCAGGTACGTCAACTTGCAATCCAAATGGTTTGTAGTATCATTTGATAAATTAAAGCAGCGTTCATACTTAATGTTTCTCCATGGCCAAGACGGCCCATGTGACATACATTTCTAACTTAATTTATATGTGTAGCTTTGCTCAATAGTTTATATTTTAGTGCAAAAGTCTGTGTTTGCTGAATATATGTATTTTTTCTCCACTCATAGAATCGTCCCTCAGTTATTACCTGTGCCCCAGCGAGCAACCGCAATTGTAACCTCTCTCACTGCCACATGAACGGCTGCTCTCCCAGCCCACCTGCTGATCAGAGGAAGACCAATGGTAAACCATCACACTTAAAACACTTTCAATACACACTTTCTATCATGTCAGGTTAATCTAAAAAAGCAAATGAATGGGAATTTATACATTCACTATACCACATGGGGTTTATGTGCATAATAAAGTTGAACTTTTATGCTCATTGATTGTATTTTACAGTCACAGAGCACTTTATTAGGAACACCATCCAAACTCTAAGTAGGGCCTCACTGTGCTCTCAGTACCGCCTCAGTGTTTCATGACAGGGGCCACAAGATCTTGGAAACATTCCTCTGAGAATCGACTTTATCTTGTAATTTGTCAGCTGCACATTCATGAAGCCAATCTCCTGTTCCACCTCATCCCAAAGGAGTTTTATTGGACTGGGGAGGCCACAGAACATAATGTCATGTTCATGAAATAAGTTTGAGACGATTTAGCTTTGTGACAGTGTGTTATAATTCTGGAAGTAGCCTTTAAAAGAACATAAATTGAGGCCATGAAGCTATATGTCATATTGTCTCTACAGTATGACAGATGTTTACTTTTTGGTGATTCAGAGGTTTAATCATAGCTAAGTGAATTTTTTATATTACCTGCATGGTAAAACTGAGTTTTTGGTCTCCTTCCTTCACACATCATTTTTTTAGCCAACACAGTATGTGACCCCGTGATTGAGGAGCACTTCCGTCGCAGCCTTGGGAAAAACTACAAAGAAGCGGAGCCTGAGTCCAACTCGGTGTCCATCACAGGTTCGGTCGATGACCACTTTGCCAAAGCTCTGGGAGATGCCTGGCTCCAAATCAAGGCCAAGGGTGGGGGGCATCAGACCCCAGATGCAGACCCATGAAGCAGAGGGGAGTAAACTTTACAATCACCTTCTTTAGTCTTTGCTTCTTGCCAAGCATCAACTTCCCTTAGAACAATGTAAGATGTGGTGCTGCCAGGCTGTTCACTTATGGACGATGAGATTAACCTCTTAAACACTTTGGGGAAGTTTTTCAATCAAAGAAGAGAAAGTAAATATTACATACTGTAATTGGATTGACAATGGTGGTTGTGGAATTTATACAATCATAGATTTTACAGTTGGTTGTCAGCCCATGTTCTGTTTTACCGGCCTTCCACTTGCCTTGATAGCCAAAGAAATCCCCTGCCTCTTCTATCCACATATAAGCCATAGATCTGGTGTCATCGTATTCATTCTATAAACTCTCGCTTCTTGAATCTATATTACTTGAAAAGGACAGCCAGGTCTCATTTGCACTATAACATTCAGAACGGTTGGGTAGCAGGTCACCCGTTACATTTGGAACTAATGTGTTCCAGAACGCCCTGGTTTTGAAATGGTCATAATGCAATTAAGGCTCTGGTCCCTCTGCTTTCTGAACACACTCGACTAACCTTGTCTTCTTTATGATCCTAAACTGGACGTATTCACTTTTGACTAAATCATTTTAGTTTCCTGTTTATATGCTCACTGTGGCTGATTACTTAGTAAACTAATATCAATCAAAGTACATATCCCTAACTAGAAAGCATGTTTCAAATAGCTGGTTTCTATTACAATCCTTATTCTATACTATATATATATTTACTCAGAATTTATTTTTTATCTGTAACATGTTAGAAATACTCACTGCTGGTACAGTTGTACTCAATATATTTTTTTGTATCTGGTTTTCATTACTATTTGTAGGTTTATCTTATTCATCTACACATCACAGCCTCTGGCAAGGTTGTCTGAATGCAGTTTAATAGGCTACATTGCTTTGTTATTCTGTGGAGCTGGATGCTTTGTACACGACTGAATACAGTGAAATCTGACTTTCTACAGCACAGTCTGTAAGCAGTGGCTTTATTTATTCTCAGCACGTTGATATTTTTATGTTGGCTAAATTTTTAAGACAACAGGATTCTTACTCTGAGTTAATGAGAACATAGTCTGTGTCCATCGCTTCAGTGACAATAATCTATTTTTAAAACTATGGTTTTAATGCAGATTCAATTAAAATAGCACTCAGTAGAAAACATAGGTCCACCATGAATTATTTCCTGGGAAATCTAAGGAAATGTTCAACAAAGAAGCTGAGTATAAAATCATCTGGATCCACACCTAAATTTCATGATTTAACTTCATCAAGATTCTTTTCTCAGTCCACGTCCCATCCTTCTACAAAGTTTGAAAAGTCTTTCAGTAGTTTTTGTGTAATCCTGCTGACAAACGAACAGACAGGGGCGTAAATAGAACCTCCATTGCAGAGGTATTGTAATAAGAAGTAGGACAAACATTCCACCATTGACTTGACTTCACGACTGCCTGACATGCATCAGTCATTTCAGTCGTGTTAATTAAATACTGTTACAAACATTTTTGTGTTTTTAGATTAATATGTCATGATGAGAGCTGCAAAAATCGTCCTTATCGTGGACAAAAGGTGTCAGTGAGCCACAATTAATTTTTAAATGCAGTTGAGATTTATTAGAATTAATTTCTCACCCTTTTGGAAGTTGTCTACTTATAGTAGCTTAATCTATTTGTCAACACTGATTAAGATAGAGTATTGTAAATTCAGACTTTTGTATGTCAAAATAACTGTTTGTGAAAACCTAAACATTTGTATTAATATTTTACAGTTTTAAAAAAAAATGTTACATACACTATCCTGTCTTTATATTTTGTTTTAGTCATGTAAGACTATCATTGCGCCGCGCGGAATGATCATAGATATTTTGTTTTCTATTCAGAGTAGTGTAGCATGGACGCTCATTATATTCTAACCATGCGTTCTGTCTTTCTAAACGTTGATTATTATTATCCCACAGTTATCAGATGATTAAGTGCAGGAACACAACAGTCTGTTGATCAAAGACTTCTCTTGGTGCAGCGTCTACACCAACAGTTTAAAGAGTGACTGTGTGTACCATAGTGGAATTTAGGGATTATTATTATGGGGATCTGCTTGTTTGACACAAGTAGATTTGTCTCAGTAATATGTTTGGGGGTATTAGTCCGTTGTTATTTAATTGCTTTGTTTAGACTATCTGTATCACAGAGACTGTCAGCAGAAAGGACCTGCTCCAGGTGTCGTCCACATGGAAAACACTTGTTCACTTTTGTTCTTTTTTCTCTGGAAGAAAATGCCACTGTTTGTACTTAATTTCTTCCAAATAAACATGCAAATGAAATGCCTACCATCACATGTTTGTTGTCTTCCTGTTTACCAAATTCAAGGTGAACGACTGCAGCCTGATCAGCAGGTTCAGTACTTCATATTCCTCGTCTTTATCCTGCAGTAACAAACTACACACATCACAAGAATGATTTTATTTCTCAAACTGCTACAGAGCTGTTGTATAAATACTGAGGATTTCTTTGTCGATGCCACTTCAGTGTTGCGGACACTTAAGTCTCACACGAGGGGGTGGTTTCACTGATTACAGCACTCTAAACATTTTTTGAACCAAGCAATCAGGAGTTGTTGCATATTCTCTGTTTTCATTGGACAAGTGACTACCCCCCCTTGAAGAACTGGAAAATGTCTTTTTACAGGAGACCTGCATGTCAAGTGCCATTATGCTTAACTAAATCATCTTTATTTATCCACACCCTTCTTCTGTAGTGTTTTCAGAGACCGATCACCAGTTCTCTATTCTTCATTTTGGTTAATGTGTTTTTGTTTTTCCTCTTGACTGGGGTCAGTGCTTCTTTGTCTCTTGAGGACAAATAAAGTGAGTAATGTCTCTTAGGAACAATTTTCTTTGGCCGTTTTTCTTTCTAGTGTGCTAAAGTCCTTGAGTATCGAATACACAATGAATTTCCTGTGGCCTGTTTTGTGCATAAATATAAAAATTGGCAACAAAATGAAAGGTAAGAATATTGTTAACTTAAAATAATTGTTCAGTTGCCATTTAGGTTCAACTTCAGGAACAGTATTGTATTGGAATAATGTGAGTCAGTCTTACTGTTATCAGTATCTCTGCCCTCAGCTCTTCGTCCTAGCAGTTATTTGCAGGTGAAAAAACAAACCTTGTGTATTTAATGTGTGTGTACAAGTGTTTGCGCTTGCTTACTATGATCTGGTAGGGACTCACTTCAATGTGAATACTCACTGGGCACTTCTGTCAACATGGGGACAGAAGATGAAGTCCCTTTTTGAATACTAACATTAGGTTTTAGAGCGACGACTGTTTGTGTGTGTGTGTGTGAGAGAGAGAGAGCGAGAGAGAAAAGTTGTGCGGCTGAGTCACTGTCTCATAAAGCATCTGACATCTTCCCTCAGACATCACAGCTGAAACCTCTTTGGACTCATTTGGCCGTAGACGCTGTTTGGTTGATCTGGTGTCATGGTAACAAAAGACAAAATAAGTGCAGCTGGGAAAAATCCATTACTCTCAAAGTGAGAAAATGGGGAAATAATGATGGATGAGTGTGGTGAGGACTGTTTGACTTCAACATTGACCTAGAAAACATTTTAGCATGCACATTAATGTTATAATGGAAACAATTTTTTTTTTTTTAGAGCAGATGATCCTTATGAGAGTTTTGTAGATAGAGCAGAGATTAGCTGTCTTCTCTCTTTCCAGCCAGCAGATGGCGGTATGAAACCACCATACACACAGCCCTAAATTCTCTTGTCCCTGGAGATAAGACAAAGACATGAGTGGCATCATCCTGGGAAGATTGATAGGGATGCAGCATTTCTTCAATCTGTCCGTTAGTGATGTGAAAATGTACTTCGCATGTAAACACATCTGCAGGTAACGACCTCGCTTTCAGGCAATCCACCTAATCCAACATGGCTCCATATCCCAGACTCATGTTTTTAAAGATCTCCTTTTAAATGTCATTATAAATGCATTTATGTACTGTAAACACAGTCAGATTAGCATATCTATAGTTGAAATTTAGGCTATAAATAAAATCCTTAAAGGCTGAATGGAAATGGAAATAAGTAAACCTCCACTTGAGTTTGGCTAATTTGCTTCATAAAGCAAATCTTCAAACTAGAAAGGAAAGATCTTTTTTTCTTTTTTTTTTTCCTTCTCTTTTCGGTTGTTGTTACTCTCACCCCTCAGGCTCAAATCTGCTCAAAAGCCCCTCCAACAGACCACTGCCTCCACGAGATTAGACCCAGCCTTTCACCAACAACAATGCCCCAGCTTCTGCTGCACCGTGCCTTCCAAGGAAGCCTGCTCTTGTGGGATTACGGAGAGGAGATCCACATTTTCTTGCTAGTGCAAAAACCAATCGCGGATACGGACACGTGCACGCACGCTGATATCAGGCCACATTGGCGGCTGACATGAAACTAGTGTCTAAGTCAGGATGACACATCAGGGTCACGCCAAATTCATCTTGGCCCCTTCAGTGTGTGAAGGCCACAAGGAGCATGACATCTGTGCTTGCGATGGAGGACTGGTCTCTCTGTCGCTGCCTTCTGTTATTGCTGTAACAGGACGAACTCTGCTGCCTTCAGACATGGTCAAGAGACACATTTGTTGAACACTGTCCTCCTCTCCATTTTCCTCTCTCGGTTACGTAAAAGGAACGAGCCAATGAAAACGCTTTAACACAGTGCACTCTGGACACGGTATGGAGTCATAATTAATCCAGTTGGATAAATGCATGAGTTTACTACAGGCTAAACGGGAGGAGTGGCCCTTGCAATGTCACACATGTTGGCTCACATATTACCTATACGTTAGCTTGCGCTACTGGTCGATAGTGATCTCATTTTTTTGTTTGCATAATTCCAAATTTGCTGTGCCCGGATAAGATGTGAGGCTACACTCGTGTCTACAGCTTCCCTGAGTGCACAGCGTCTGGGGAATTTGCGTGATTGCCTGTAGATTATTTGAACATTGTCTATTCCCCCTCCTCTTCTCTTTTTTCCTTATTTCTGTGGCTCTCTGCAGTGAGAATGCACACACATCCTTGGGCGAAAGAATCTAAAATAGATCATACAAGCAACTGGAGTAGATGCACAGGCACAGGAAGCAGCTCACGGGCAGACTTGAGTCATGCTGGCAAGATCATGCACCCTGAGCTGACAGCCCAACACACCCGATTACCAAGCACGTCATTTCTAAAATGCATCTGCAGCCTCACTATAGGTCACAAACAAGAGGGGGAATATTGAGATCCGATGCTGATTTCCCCATAACTCTGGACTCTTGAATGCAGCATTGATGGGGAGCAAGGTTGCAGCTACTTTTAAGACTGACCTGATGAGCGTCTCCATCTCAAGTAGCAGTGGCTCATTCATTGTGTCATGTGGACTGCTGGCAATGGCATAACCTTTGTGGAGGGAATAGAAGACAACACGGTCACTCTGGATAACAGTCTTGCAATGAACAGAAACAGACCCTGTCAGGGTGTCTCAGCATCAGTTCTCAGCTGCACACCACCACCAACACACACACACCAACACACACACACACCAATTGCTCTCTGCCTTTTCCTTACTTCCTCCTTCCATCAGTGAGGACAGCTCCTTCTTGATTCGGCCCTCTTGTGTGGCGTGCATGCAACACTGATTTGGCAGCATCCTATTAATACATTTCTCCTTTACATCCCCCTATGTTGCACGTTGCCTCGGCTCCATCTTGCTTTGTTGCGCACATTTGGCCTGCTCCGTGGCCGTATGGCACTTGACACGGCCAGTGATTTTCCCATTATTACAGTTGGCTTAAATTTCATTTCTTTTATATATTATTGATTGATTTGTAAATGATTGATTTAAAGGGCCATCTGCTGCAGAATAGAACGACCGCGCTGTTTTTCCTTCAAGTTAATGAATTGCTTCCAATTAGGACACACAAATATTTCTCGTTAGCTCGGGTCTGTACTTTTTATCTGCGAGATCTGGCTCCCGTATAATTATTAAAATGTCCTCTCTTAACGACGGGCAGAGAAAGATGTTTTATTGAGGCGGTGGGTTTTGGGCAGTGAGCAGCAGACAAATGTTTGAACCATCACTAAGGGGCATTCTCATGTCTCATTATGAGGCTTGTTAGGGTCCACATTACCTCGGCTCGGCTGAGCAGCCTTAATAAGGAAAGTGACCCAACACCAATATGAGCAGCAATGTTTCTCCTCTCACGTCCGTTTACTCCTGTCTTCCGTGGCCCCTATCTTTTTCCTCTTGTCTGTCTGCCCCCCTCCCCCCCACCACCACCCTGCTTTGCCACAGCCCCCCCACCACTACCACTCCCCCCGTGTGTTTGGCAGTCACACAGTCGGCCATGTGTGTGCTGAAGACGTTACATAATTCCCTCCTTTCACTGCACTCCAGATCAAAGAGAACAAACCAGCACAGAAAAATTGCTCCTTGCTTATTTTCTTTTTTCCTTCTCCTCCACCATCGCACTGCTTTATCAGACTTCGGTACCCAGAGACCGTACAGTAGACTGTGTTATTATCAGCTTCGGCATTCCCCCTTCATGTTTAAAACCAAGCAGAGCAAACGGGGAAATGATCAGAGGTTACCAACAAACAAAATAAGGAAAGATCAATATTTTTATAATGTGTTCTTATCTATTTGTCTTGGTTTGTTACAAACACATGCAGGGATGTCAACTTTAAAGAATCAGTGGGTAAAATTTCGTGACATCTAGTGGTGAAGTTGCATGTAGCAGCTGAATCCCCCTCACCTCATCTTCCCCTTCAAAACATGAAGCAGAACCCGTGGAAGCCTTCGAAAGGTGTTGAGTTTGTCCAGTTTGGACGACTGTAAAAAACATGGCATCCTCCGTAAAGAGGACATGCTGCTGATGTATTAGATATTCAGTGTTTAAATATAAAGGTCTATTCTCGTGTAAAGAAAACAACAATTCATACAATTTAGATGAAACACTAGTGGAAACATTGGATTATTTTATATTCGATATCTACCAATAGATCTCTTTCACCTAAATCTTACACACTGAACCTTTAACCCAGGCAGGAAAAAAATAATCAAGCATGAGTCAGACAGTGATGAATTTTAATAAAACAACAAAGTGCTTTCAATTTGCTGTAACTTGTGACATTTTAGAAGCGAAAGTGTTTCATTTGTAGAAACTCTCAGAAAAAGAACTGACTCAGTTGTGATGAAACATTTTCTGAGAGGGTTTCTGCTCAGAATGACATAACCAAGCAGAATAATCAGCGCTGTTACAAAATAACCTAAATATTCGACCTGACACTACGATGCCTT